GCAGGCTGGACTGCCTATACATGTGCCATTGTAGCGCCATATCGGGTGGATTGGTGATTCAAAATATGAGCCTTGGTTGCTTGAATAAATGAAATGAAATGAAATGAACTGCACTTTGCTGTTTACCTCTATTCTCTACATGCTAGCAGTTAGCGCAGTTCAAATAATATACTAGGCACGAGTCAGAGGCAGTCGAGCCAAGGGAGGCATCCCGCGCAAAAACTTGTATCACTGTTGCAGGAAATGCTTCTAGTTCAGACCATTAACCCCACTACGTTTTGATATGAGCCACAATCCACCTAATTACATTCGAATAAGGTGTTTTATTGACTGTACCTAAAATGTGTGATTGTGTGAAATGTATATTTAGCGTCTAATTAGTCTTGCTAGGTAGTGGGGATGCCATAATTACGACTTTATCTTCGCACCAAACTGTTCTTTTCAACTTTAATATTCATATATTCGAAGACGATAGACTAAGCTATGCTGTGTAGTGGTGACAGAATATCCACTGCTCCAAATCTTCCCGTCGGTGTCGTAAGAAGCATCATAGGAAAACTGGACCATGAGATAGGCAGGAACATCTTCCTGGTAAGAACTGAATAATATATAATATAACAAAGTGCGGTTGACAACCCCATGCTTAGTGTGGCAAACATAGCAATTATGTTCCCCTTAAACAATATATAAGAGAGGCCAACGGTCATCAATAGACTGTAGGTGGTTGTAATGGTAATGGATAGACCACTCTTCCATAATACTTAGTGGTAACTGTCTCACTAAAGAATCTGGATTTAAGTTCTAATTCAGAGTTTAGTAGCACCAATGCGTTAGCGAGAAACTCTACCTAGTTTCTCGCTAACGCATTGCAGCTAATTTAATGAGAGCGCTGTTTTAAATGATCTATAAATATCTATATATATTGTTTCGTATATTGTATCACTTTACTCTACGCGTTTCAATTTAAACATTACAAATAAGAAAATCTTAAAGTCGAAGAATGTTGTTGACGCAAGGGTGCGCTCTCGATAATAGCGGAGAGCGGGGCGGGCACGAGGCTGGAACTGTGGTTAAGAGGTTAACCGAATGGCGTGGTCTGACTGCTCTCCACGACAGAGGTTGTACCATTTTAAGTTACAATATCATAGTTAACGTTATACGCACGTGATATTGAATTTTCAAAGATTTATTTTTGTAGGTTGTATTTATTTATATCGTATAATGAGCCATGCTGGAATAATAAGCGATGTTTATATGATTCTGGGTCGGCTTTGGCGTCCCGTTAATTGTGCTATAACTTCGCGTAATAGTATGTGACATTATAATGAATAGTATTTAATTTAATTGATATTATTAATCTCCAAGAAAACTAGCATAAAATAGCAATGTAGAAAGAAGAAGAGGAAGAAGTAGAATGTAGTATGGAGCAATGTGTTTAGATTTGGTGAGTGTAGAGGATCGCGTACCCTTTTTGTTATTAACGAGGCATTCTGGGTCCCCAGGGGTGCCAATGCATCTGCATTTTAAAATTCCTAATCTAGGATGAATGTGGGCGTCTACGGGCCACAGGCTAGAAGGTGGCACTATTACTTCTATAAATAAATCAGCGAACACAATCGAATATTGAATGGTTGATTCATTTGTTGGTACCCTTTTTATAAAATTGCTGTTTTTTATAAACAATAGCTCATCGCTGCGCACTACGTACAATATTCGGGGCAGAAGATGACAACTTATTATTTCCATAGATACTGTCGAAGTCTAATAGAATAAAAACTGTTTTCACAACACTTAACTACATGTTATAATTTTTATACTACATATTGTATCTCTCTTATCGAATCAACTTTTTCAACTATTTCAATATTTTACTTTGTAAATTACATTATATACATATAGTATTAATTAAAAGCTGTAAGTTTTCCTCTTATAAATAAATAAATATACTAGTGTTATTGTACTTGAAAGCTAAATAGCTTTACGATTATCGTATAACAATCGAAGAGCTATTTAGCTTTCACAAAAAGAAGAGTGATTAGCCCTCGATGACCATCGAACACCAAAAAAAATCGCAAAACAATCGAAAATGGCTCGACCGATTTTGATGGTGTTTTAGTGTGTTTTAGTGGGTCCCTGGATGGTTTGAAAACTCAATTGGACCCAGTTAGTGGCGCTGGTGTCGAGATCCAGAAATGACCCGCGCGTTCAGTTTACAATATAATTTATTGTACAAGTAATATTAAAACATGTAAAACAGGGTTTTATTCATTTTCAAATAACAGTAACTATAGACTATAGACAACATTTTACGGATTTTATATCTTTTTTATGATATTTGATCTAGCGATATCGGCTTTGTAACCGTTTAACACCGCCTAAAGTTCGTTCACACATTTTGTCTTTATTTACAGTTTTTTTTATAGAATAAGCGTGACAAACGAGTCCACCTTTATCATCAATTAAGAATCAAAATGCAGATGCGTTGTCACGCTTGAGGACTGAGATGGAATGCCTCGTGTTTTAATATTTCTACATGTAGGACGTGCTATCCATTAAATAATATATTTATCCAGTTCGTGTTATTTAAATACTTACATAAAACGTAAAACGAACAAACATCAGGAACATGAGGATCATTCTTCCAATGATCTTACTTCGTTCTACAGTACAAAACGCTAACACTACCGCTTGAACTGAATGTCAGTGCTTGAGGACCACACTTGCCTCGTTGTGGCTTGTGGTATCGTGTCGCGTTGGCTCCCCGCTTCGTGGAGAACGTGACATAAGTGGAGTTGTAATAACATAGCTATTTAATTTCTCCCAATTGATTTTTATATTACCGGTGGATATTCTTAAAATAAATAAAAATAAACAGGATGTTAAAAACTCTTGTCCTCTTAATTTTCCAATATTGTTGGCCTATGAAAATCATTGTAATAACGAAGAAAATTCCAAAAAACTTGTTATAGAAAATTGTGCCATTCTTGGATCAAATTGAATAACAATAAAGATTACTAAAAATTGATTTAAGTGTTTTGAATAATATTATATTAATATTTATTTATATTATATTTTATTATTCTAAATAAAAACTCTTTCTCTTTCTGTCTCTTCCTTTACCGATATTGAAAAGAAAGTTAAAAAGAAAAAAAGTGAGGCTTTTATGAATGTAACTTAAACGAATCTAGGATCTCTGAAATGAATAAAGAGTTTAAATTTAAGATTAAAACTAAATTTACAGCCTTTACACTCCCAACTTAAAGACATGACCTCCAATTTCTGCAAGAATTTTAGGGTAAGGAAGCGTCCATCTGGTTGCCAACAAAATTGAAAAAAACGAGTTAAATTAAATTAAAAAAAAATACTAAATCTTTTGTTGTAACAAAACCAAACTTAAAGCCTGAAGTTTTTTTTTCATGATATGAAAGCTGACACAATTGATAAAATTCTGCTCACTAAGAGATGCCATAAAAGTAAACAAAACTAAAATAAAAAATGTTTTAAGATATGTGAGCACTAATAAAACAGTACAATGATTATTATGTATGTGTCGCAGCCAACTAGCTTAACTAGCCTTTCAGTTAACAGCCTAGCCTTTTTACTTAACGGCGCCGTTCAACAAGCGGCAACTATCCCTTGGGCCAACCTAAAGCCGCATATATTTATATAATATAGCGCATACGAGTAGTTAATAATTACTAATTAGATATGAAACGTTGTGTTAGACACATCGTCTGAATATCATTCGTGTCGCTATTTAAACGACGCCGTTTAGTAAAAAGGCTAGGCTGTTAATTGAAAGGCTAATTAAGCTAGTTTGCTGCAATATATCAGATTATTAAAATTATACAGTCAAACTTTTTAAATATCCTAGAATATTTTCATAAATCAGTTTGTTCTGGTCGCATCGCTTTAAGTGGTTTGCTAGGTTTGTATACTTGTGCGCGAGTGTTTATTGCTCGCGGCGTTTGAACTCGGAAGTCGGCGAGAGCGTTCGCTGCTCCCCCCCCCATCACATCTCCCTCCCTTCATCCGCTGCGCTCTCTGATTGTACCAAGACGGACCAACGTGTTTTTATGCTCATACAGCTTTAAGTTGATATCATATTTACATTGGAGTAAAAACAAATAGTTTGCTTCTTGAGCCATACCTAGATATTGCAGGATTGCAGATCATGTCAGAAAATGTTTACAACGTAATTATTGGTACGCTGGGCAGTACCTTTTCATTTGTATTAGATAATTTTTTGTGTGGATTATGGATACAAATGGATGGAGCCATTGTAAATAGCAGCTGGAGTGTATGTTATTGTTCAATAAGGAATATTATATCGTATTATTAAATGCTACAACTCCTGGGAACGAGGTGACACTAGCATGCTGCCTGTTAAATGTTACATCACATTTTATGCAAAATATTTTATTTTAAATTAATATGTTGTTGTTTATTCTATCTAAATTGGTATCAGTTTAACAGGTACCCTGTCCGCGAAACAGACACAATATTTAAACAATTGAAATGTTCACATATGGTTCACGGGACTGGAAAAGGTTCAATATTCAATTCGAACAACTAATTCTCAGTTGCCTATATCAAGTGTTTAATATTTCATAATAAGTATTTTTAGATAATTTGAAAGGAATATCTAGGATATTTTATACGTGGTAGTGCCGCGCTGCAGCTATATTATGGTTGTAGCACGAATGGGTCGGCTCGACCGTGGAAGGACCACGCTCTCACAGAATACCAGCGTAAAATAGCAGCTTAATGCTGCTGTGTTTCGTATGGTGAATGTAGAGAGCCGGAGACCAGTTTTACTGGAATCGAGGCATTCCAATTTAGTCCTCAAGGGTGACAACGCATCTGCATTTTGATTCTTAATCGAAGTTAAATGTAGATGTTTATGGGCCATAGCATCCACTTACCATCAAGAGGACTATATACTCGTTTGCCACCTTTATCCTTTAAAAAACCTAGGAACGTTGAATATATTACATTACCTGGAGAGCTTTCCGATGCCGGGGACGATGACTCTTCTTTGAAGCTGCGAACAAAGATTTAAACATTTACCTGTATTTCTTGGTTATTTTACGGTATAGCAAGAAATGGCGAGTAAGTTGTATACTCGTATCTCCATAATATGACTAACCCAACAACTGTCAGTACTTTACCAATATTTTACCTATTCTTATAGTTTTCGTCCATCAAACTTATCTTCTCTTGTTTGTACCATTCTGTGTACTGGATTCGAATTTTAGATGAAGATATCTATGGAACAGCCTCCACTTACAATCAGATGCACTGTGTGCTCGTTTCTGTGTGCGAAGTCGTTCGCATAGAATATTTTGATTGAATTGTTGTATAGTCCAGTAAGTTGGTAACTCATATGATTAAAGAGCTTATTACTTTAGTCATAACTTTAATATTTTTTACTACTGCTTCAACTCAAAAAGTAATTGTATAGACTATACTTACATATGTTTACTAAGAATGAAGGTAATTTTTGTCACAAAAGTGATTAAGTGCAAAACATCTACATGGAGAATCCATACAGTAATATATATAAAAAATAGTGACAAAGAGATTCGCAGCAGGAAAATACTAAAAAAAAAACTAAAGGTCAACAATTATCACTCTTATGAAAATAAAAATATAGCCTATGGCTTCATAACTTCAAAGATCAAAAGAGAGTTCCTTAAAGATAATTCGTTTGCCGTGTATTAACGACATAGGAGACGACTATGGGATAAAACCCTATGGTTTCCGATGTATGGCCGAATAACCATCTCTTTTACGCCATCTATTTTTCTTTTTGAAAGGGGCGGTCTTTTGCAGCAGCATTGAGATGTGTGATACCACGATGGTCAGTTTGATCGATCGGTCGAGCGAGAGCACTCAGGGCGCTGGGCTCGCAGTGGATATTTACGCGCTGATTGTAAACATTTTTTGGGACTTTTTAGGAAATAAAGTAATGCGACTATAAAAATAATTGTGTATTTTTAATCTTTAAAGCAAGCCATTTCATAGGATGAACTTATTTAATAATAATTAAAAAATCGTAATATTTTCACCAAAATATATCTCAGTACCGGCCAATTTATTTTTTAAATATGTGAATTAAGTCAAAAACAATGATAAATATGGTCATGACACATTGAGCAACAACATGTTATTTTTATATATTTATTATATTTTTTGCAAAAGAGCAATCTATGATTTAAAACCTAAAACACAAATACTTAAGGAAATTAGTAAGATAACTTCAGGCTATCAATATTTTACGATAATGTAACGTATCGTAATTATTAGACCTGTACACAATGAAAGTTGTCTTTGTACAAATTTTGGCTTCAGTGCAGTTTTTTACTATTCTAAGTCAGCATTTAACTACAGCCACACCTGATGGTGAGTGATGATGCAAGGAAACATGGTGAAGCGCTCTGACTTCACAAAAGCCTATTTACTTTCACCTTGAAGACGCCTACTTATAAACAGATAGAAAGATAGATGCTTGCCGTTTCAAGTAATGTACTATATTTATGGTCTGACAGACTTGTATGATAGAAATGTATGTATTGAAGAAAAATATAAAAGTAACGTATCGATGAAATATGAAAAAATTTTTAATATAAAAATAATGAATTAGGTTAAGCGTTAAGCGATCAAATCATTTCTCCCTCCATTGGGGGGCGGGGGCTAATGTAGGACAGTGGACGAAGAATAATCAAATGAATCAACAAGAGAGTGTGGACAAGCAGAGAAACATTTACGTATAGGAGATATTTTTCCTACGTTTGTTTTTGTTACATGCATGTGTAATTGAATGATAGGGTAGCAATTAATCTACAGGCATGCCTAATGTGATGTTGTAAAAATGCCTCTTTTTTGTATGAAATAATTTAGAGATCAGCAAGTGTTAGCTATGCGTATTTTAATATTTTGTGAGCTTGGTTTAAGAAATAAATTTATTGAACAGAAGTATATTTTACTGTTCGTTATTCCAAATGTAGTAGCGCAAACTAAGAAATTATTTGTCATAATGTTATTTATGTTCCCTACGAAGCAACTAGTAGAATAAGGCGTTACTTTCCGGATATTCATTATAATAAAGACGTAAAAACATTTAGCTAAGATTGGCGTAAAAATAAGAATGATGGATCTTACCTGCTCGTAGTTCATCGAACACCTCCCGCCCTTCGTCGTTTGCATGAGAGGGTAGCAGGTGTTCTTCAAACTTTGTTAGCGTTAACAAATTGATAACCTGTTACCTAAAGCCTTAATTGACGTAATACCTAATTCCCTGTGGTAAAAATATCCAAATCCAATAACTTGCTTCATAATGCGTACAGCAAAGGAGTGAAATAGCTCGCCAGATCTGTCTATTCATCCAATTATAACGTGGCTGCCTTTTTTTATAGAGCAGGGGCAAAAGAGCATATGACTCAACAGATAGCAACTGTTGAGTGTCGTCCGTGAACTATTACAACACCAGTGTAGTTGCAGGTGTATTGCCGTTCATTTAAAAGGCGTAAGCTCGTCTCTTGAAGATTTCATAGTCGTATCGCTTCGGAAAAAATCGCTGGTGGTAAATGATTCTAGAAGGAAGTCGTGCAAGAAGAAGCTCCTACTAAATCACACAGTAGTGGACCGCCTAGCATTCAGATGGTATGACTGATATCGCGCATTTTGTCGCGATGTGCGTTGGTGGAATTTAGCGGCAGAAATAATAATTCGGGCAATTCCTCTGACTACTCCTCGCGGTAAATTCTATAGAAAATACACAGTAATGCAACATATATCTTAACAACGCTAGTGAATCGAGTCGACTAGAAAGAACTCGGTCGTCGATAATCCGAGCCGCTTTTCGCTGTTGCGTTCAAGTAGAAGAAGCTGGGTGCCCTGGCCCAGAGATAACAACAAAATTCCTAGTGAAGCCGAACCTGCGCCTTGTAAAGTTGGAACTGTCCCGCTCTGATCCAAGCTTTTGTATTTAAGGCAAGACTGATTATGATGGTACATTCTTCAACTGCATTACCGTTTACCAAAAGGTGAAACGGTGAGTGGTGATGCAGAGATAAGCAGTAGCCAAACACTGCTGATAATAGTAAAAAAATCTTATTCACTATTATAAGGACATCTGAGAATAGAAATTATGAAATATTTAATGAATAACGTCGTTGAGGATGTTACTATGCTAACGTTACTGTCACTAATGTGTACAATCATTAATGAACTTGCCATTTAATTTATACTTCCTAAATGATCCAGAATAATTGAATCGAAAGTTATCTTAATTACAAAAAATACGTCACGTTGTTTGTCCGCGATGAACTCTAAAACCACTTAACCGATTTCAATGAAATTTTGTATATGCGTATGCTTGCTTTAACTTAAGAGATAGCATAGTTTTTATCCCGATAAGTAACCCTCATTTTTATTTTGAATTTAATGATTTTTTAAAGGACAAAGGGACGTCGGAAAGGGCAGAACAAAGTTTGCCTGGTCTGCTAGTAGACAGTAAAAACCCTCTGAATAGCAGATCCACGAGTAGAAACAGTTGCATGGGTCAATTTTTGCTCAGGAGAAAAATATTTTTGAGATCTACGTAAACTAAAAATAATTCTAAATTTGTGGAAAATACGTTTGCGTTAGGATTCATCCCATCATAACTTGGCGATGTAACTAGCTGCATGTTTCTGCCATGGATAACCGATGTATAGCTATATGTATATATGTTTAAGGGTGACAACGCATCTGCATTTTGATCCTTAATCGAGGATAAATGTAGATGTCTATAGGCCACAGCATCCACTTACCATCAGGTGGACTGTGTGCTCGTTTGTTACCCTTATGCTATAAAAAAATATACAAAACTTATGCTATAAATAGCAAAGTGGAACTCTAATATTATGTCAAATGATTATTGCTGAACTGTCACGAAAGATAATCTACTAATTTAAATTGATAACAGATTGACACAATGATTTTTGTGTGATGATTCATAATAAAAGTTGGCAGCCCTAGATCAAATAACTATTGATTATCGTGTACTGTTGTTGCATACGAACTTGAATTCACTTTTAACTAAAAAAGTCGTGGTCGTATTTGTTGTAATCGTCGCTTTTGGCCTGTAGTGTATAATGATAATCTATATAGATATATACAAATTATTAATGTTGCCAGAGACAAAGTAACATCGTGTCTGTTGACATGTCAACAGTAGGTATGTTGTCTTGTCGGCGTCATCCCATGCTAGGCGGGCACTTCACCGCAGAACCGGAAACAGAACATACATTTTCTTTATTCGCGACATTATTACTAAATAAACACTCCAAAAAACACATTTTCAGTTTCATATCGGTAAACATATTGTTGTGGTAATTTACTATTTAGTATAGGAATCCGAACAGACTGACAGAAACAGGAAGTAAATCACGACAGATACGTTCTCACAAGATATTCGTTTGTTTTAAATTCGGCCAGTAGGTTATTGGGAATTCTGTACTTTCAAGGTCGAAACAGCAGTTTTTGTAGAGTTTTTGAGATAGCAACGAGCTGGGGCGGGTGTGAGCCGGTCCATCTGAATTGTAAAGTCATATGACGAAAATCTCTTATTGCATTATTTGCCGCCGGCACCGCGAGCCGATGCCCCATTATATTAACAAATGTCCCACCAGCAAAATGATATCGGAATACAGATGGGCGCAGATACAATTTTGTTTCACTCTCATTTTAATTGAACCATTTGGGAAAAATTATGGACACTCGTCAGCTATGACTTTTTTACGATACTTGCTTTAAGTTAAATATTTTTTAGTTTGTTCTCGACTCGAGCTCGATCTCGGCTCGAGCTACAAATTATTATTATTCTTCCTAATCAGTGGTAAAAGTCCTCGCTGGACGGAATCAACCTCATCCATTATGATGCGGATGGCTGGCGGATAATAAATATAATATAATATAGTAATAAATCCAGACCGAACGGAGGCTAGCCATCTGCGCAGGACAGGATTATAGTGCCCGAGTGTATGTGCAAGCACAGGTGCACTCTATATTCCCTCACTCTTACAGTCCGATGAGACGGTAATTCGACACGACCGAAAATAGTTCAGGACCAACGGCACTACCGAGGCACGGGAGTGTAACGCCACCAACTTCCTGACTCCTGGCTGATAATGAGAATTTCTTCACAGTAGTACACCGCAGTCTGCCGGAAGACATAATATCTTTTTGGCGTATCTCACTTACCGATCTATGGGACGAATGGGGTATTGAAATGTCCTACAGGCCGTCATCGCACAGCAAATAAGTTTATTAATGAAATTAATTAAGTTTTGTTGCGTTCAAAATGTAAAACTAATACAAAGGTGGGAAAATGCGGCTCATTTAATAATCTAGCTTAAATTGTGCTCCAACTCCACTGTTTCTATTCGTACAATTTCCTGTTTCCAATCTCTCGCCACCGCTATTCTCTACTGCACGGGACTAGGAACTTTGCTGTAGCAACCCAAGTTTTATATTTTAGTAGAAATGACATACCCAATTCATATAGTATACGAACATTCAGACAATACAATAAATATAATAATCATGTCTGGAAACTGATAAAAGTTTATATAAGATATTAGTGCAGTAATTTAACTGTCAATATAATATTTTATTTAGACCCAGGTAAAATTAAATCCGCCCTGGATTTGGCAACATTTGCAAAAATAAATTGTTGAGTGAATGGCAGAGTCGGAAAGGGACGTCCTAGGCGAAAATTTATCGACCAAATTGGCGATTTATTGAAAACGGGCCAAATTAGGAGTACCCTTAACCGACGAGCATGTATGCGGAGGTGTATGGATGTGAAGGAGGCGAGAGAGGTGTGTCAGGATCGTGCCAAATGGAAGTCTGTAGTCTCTGCCTACCCCTCTGGGTGACAGGCGTGAGTGTTTATGTTATGTAAATTGTTGATTTTCCGGTTGGTTACAAGACTCAATATTTTAAGATTATAATCATCATATGGACAAAATTTGGTTCAAATTTTAATTACTTTTAATGTTAATAAAATAAGTTCAAAGTACAATAAACTGTTTTTTAAATATAAAAAATTAAATTAAAACTTGATGAATATTTCGGTCGTTTTTTATGTATCTGCACGACTTATATTTAAACACCATCAGATATTTGAACAAAACAAATGTACAATTACGATCAATGTTAGTATACATTAGTTTGCAGTAAGCTGCGTAGAGATGATTCGTGCTTCAAATGTTTACTCTTGTGGAAAAATAACAATAAATTGCCTCGCTTGAACGTCTTGGAGAGCACAGTAGCAGGTGCCTCAGTCTCGCTCTGTTGATGCTTCCTCCCGTCACTTGCCTGACGTTTTTAATTCTCGCACATACGAAGTGTGAGAGGCGACACGCGATCTTCTTCACATAAAACTGGCGGGAAGGAATCTACCGAGCGATACTAGTCAGCTAACTTTCGATTCTTGCAAATGCCCTGCAGTCCAGCGGCGAAGTACTAGAAGGGCAGTTAATGTGAGAGGTTTTATCAATATTACAAAATATTTTCGCATTTCCCAGACTCTTCACTTACATCACTAATACATTTTACTCATAGACATTCTTAATTTTCTAAAATATTTTGTTAAATAAGGTAAAACTAAGTACCTAACTGCAATAAAGTTATAACAGTTCTTCTTCTATATTTTGTAAAGAAAAATAAACATCAAATTAAATAACAACAGAAGCCTTCCTATGCGCACCATACTCGTATGTGTGGGTAATATAGATTCTATACAACCGCAAATATAACTGATTTATTGGAAGCATCGCTTTTTTACTGCTAGAGTACGATTTCAAGGATACCGCGAAGGCCGCGGAAGAGGCCAGCTGATACAAATATCGATTTTACGTAGAGACCATTACCTACGTCAAATGTTTTTACTTTACGAAAATACATTGATTCAATTCAAAATGTCCTGATTAATTCGGAAAGAGATTTATTGAATATTGAAACTTACGTGTACAAGTCGTCCTCGATGTTAGAAGAACTTGTCGCTTCAACGAGCACCGAACAACTCATCACTGAATCTTTTGGTTCATTTATTTCACAAGTCATCATCAGCAGCGCTCCCGGCCGCCGCCACGGCTACGTGAAGCGTACAGCGTAGCACAGCATGTGCCTAACATAAACATAGTAAAGCATATTGTTCAGGAACAGAACACGTCGCTCTAATATGTACAATTTAATGTTAGGACAGAAATCACTGACGCGAAGCCACCGTACGTGTGATATAACTTCGTAACGCTGTCTCCGAACTCCATCGATTTTTTTGTTTGATGGAGTTGGTAATTACCGATTATAAGATACGCACCAAAACGTAAATATAAGTAAAACAGAAGAAGCTCAAATTCTGACACTAATTAGAATAAATATAATTTCTAAGATTTTAAATAATATAATGTAAATAAATAATGTATGAAGCATATACAACACATTATGCACCTAAATGTTGTTTCAAAATCAGCTATAATTAGCAATATTTTGTTTCAAGTCATATTATATAAACTTTTAATCCAAACTATTTTAAAATATATAATGGAATTGGAAAAACTGATATTACTTTATAAGGTTTTGAATTGTTTTTATAAAAACACAATAAGTAAATAGAAACAAGTGGACGTCGGGTCAATGTTATGCCTTCGACAGGGGGATGCAGAGCGCATGCGTTATTTTAACCTTGAGCGCACTTCCCGGTTCACGGGCAGAAACCCAGTCCCAGCCTTCTAGGTCAATGTGTTTGTAGGTACTCGTAGCTACGCCACCCACCGACCGATATCCTTTATCTAATGTACGTAATATTAAACGCTGAATTTGAGCAATCAAAGGTAACTAAATTATTGTGTTGCCACTGCGAGTTCATTCCAAAAGGGAACAAGTAATGGTAAAAATTTACTTTAGGTAAAAGATATGTAAAAATTATGCCATGTCTTTTTCAATATTAAACAAACAAGGCATATCTCATGAAGTGAAATTTTTGTAGAGGGTCCAGTCAGTAACTAAGAAAAATAAAGCGGCATTCACAAGCGTCATAAGCAAGATTTTGAAATAAAGTGGGGTGGAGGATATTATCAGCCTTTAAGTGCCAATATCAACTATTTATATATCCAAAGAAGAACTGATAAGTTATTAATCCAAAAGAGTAATGAACATTTATTTACAATCATATTATTACAAGAACAATTTTTAAAACGACGCTAAGCAAAAAAGGCGTTATGGCGCAAATTCCAGCCAGCCTGCACCGAATGTCGTACTTTTGTGTACCCAATGCCAACATAACATAAGGTTGTGCTTTATGAGTTCCTGGTAGGAGTAGCCACTGTTGGTAAGCTTCAGGGGCGCAGTGATCAACTCGTAACAACTTTTAATTGTGAATTGTGCATGTGACAAGCATGGAATATGTATTTAGGTAGACGACAACAATTATTTTATTCTAACGTTTTACTACTTACCTGACAGTATTTTAGTTTCAAGCACTTCAATTTTTGTTTTTAAAATAAGGAATTAGGTGAAGAAAATTATGAAAAATGGAGCACATGCAAATTCGATAATTTGATCATGCCAGTTTTGGAATCATTTTCATTATTATTATTACAGCCCTTCACAAGTCCACTACTGAATATCCTGCTCTACAGACAGCCTCCAAGCATGATCCTTAACCACTTTCTTTGTCATGAGTTTTTCATTTATCTTCTAAGTTATAAATATGCTTACTTTTGTCTTTCTCAAAAAATAATTTAATAAATACATAAGGTGTTCTTAGTATGTACCGAATGTTTGATAGAAAAACAAGTAGGTACCTACATATTTTGAAAATCTGTAAAACCAAAAACCGATTTTAAAACAGAGACGAATCGATCATGACTCCTTCAAATTTTAAACAAGTTCAGTTCTAATTAACTATATTTGTTCCAGTTTATGACTCATGTAAGGGATAAATAAAGAAAAATAAGTAAATAAAATTCTAGTTAATTGATACAATCAGGCGTTACTTTGCGGAAATCCGTTACAATAAAGATATTAATAGTTATTCTGCAACCATCCGCTAAATAAAATAAAATGATGTGTCTTTCCTAGTTTGAAGAGCACCTCCTGCCCTTCCTCAATTGCGTGCATTAATCCCGTCACCACCAATCCCAGCACCACTACTAGCGGCACTTAGCGGTCAGCCGCCGTAGAGTCAACATCACCTGAAGATGCCTCCTGTAGAGGCGAAACACGTGTCGTATTTCGTCGATGGTGTGTATTTCCTAGAATAGTGGTGTTGGGAGTAGTGGCGTTAGGAGTAGTGGTGCTGGGATTGGTGGTGACGGGATTAGTGCACGCAATTGAGGGAGGGCGGGAGGTGCTCTTCAAACTGGGGAAGACACATCATTTTATTTAATTTAGCGGATGGTTGCAAAATAACTATTAATATCCTTATTAAAATTCTAGTTTATGACAGCCCTGATTTATATTACGTGGCTGAAATTAGGTACTTCTCATTAGGTACGTAAGACCAAATTTCAGCTAGACGGCTGCCATTATGCACTCCACACATTTCATATATATCTAATTACAGCCCCATTAACTACCACTAAAATAAAATAAAAAACTTGTACACATAAACAAAAAAGACTGCATTACTATATCTATAATCATATTCATGCAAATCAAAAAGCTCAAAGATGAGCTAATGTAAAATGAGATTAATTTTATCGAGACCGCAACTTGTCAAAAAATTAGGAAAATGAGCGTTTTCCGTAGCCTACGCGTTTTGATTTTTAATTTAACATTGTTAGATTTATAACTGTATGGTAATATTTGAATTATCTTTCCTCTAGTTACGAAGAATTTTTAGTTGGCAAGATTTGTAGTGAAGACTACTAGAAACGTTATTTACGAAGTAAAAAGGTGAAAAGGCTGGAATTAGGGGCGTGGCTGGTATTAAGGGCCACCCACCCTATAATTTCATTTTTTTAACTTTTTTATTCCCAACGTTTCGAGCATTTTACGCCCATGGTCACGGGAGCAGTGGCGGCCCTAGGGAGGTGCAACCGATGCTACCGCACCGGGCGCCATCATCGGGTGGGGGGGATCAACCTAAACGCTACCTACCACCGGGCGCCTGTCACCAATTCACTCACTCTTAACACTAAGATTCCGTTAAAAGGACTTCCTCGCCACTTTCTTGATGCAAGTGTACAAGTGTTTGGCTTAGAAATGAATAATTGTCGTAGTCAAGGGTTCAGTAATGGTGCGAACATGGCACATGCAATCAGGAAAATTAAAGGTGTTCAAAACAGAATTTGCTCAATATTCTCGGGCATTTTGTAAATCATGTGGTTGCAGTTATTAGAACTTAATTGCAGCACCTCCCAACCCCCCCTCAATTGCATGCACTATCTCCGTAGCCACCAACCCCCGGAACCAACACACTAGGGACTACACACCACTCTCGATAATACGATACGTGTTTCGCCTCTACACGAGGCATCCACAGGTGAAGTAGTCTCTGCGGTGGCTAAAGGCTAAGTGAGCGGCGAGCCGAAACAGTTGCTATTTATACAACTCGCTGATCAACGAGTAGTGTAAATAGTAGCGTGTGGGGAGCGCGAGAGTGCTAGGAGTGGTGGTGATGGGATTGGTGTTGATGAAGATAGTGTCAGCCTCCGCAGAGTCTACTTCGTTTGAGAATGCCTCACGTAGGGGACAACATGTCGTATTATTAAGGGTGATATATCGTTCCTAGTGTAGTGGTGCTGGGTAGGGTGGTGCTGGGAGAGGCGGTGCTGAGGTTGGGAGTGCTGAAAGTGGTGGTGAAGGGAATAGTGCCCGCAACTGAGGAATGGTGGAAAGTGGGTATTCTTCAGACTGGGCAGTACACATCTTTGAATATTATTACGCGGAAATGAGCAAATTAAGTTCTAACAACTTCAATATATTAGATATCCGCAAAGTAACGCCTGATTCTTTTAATTATCGAAGCAGTTACTTGAGCGCAACAATCGCCCAAAAACTAATGTGAAACTCTCACATTAGCAACGTATGTCATACGACTAAAATTATTTTAGGTACGTGCAGTCGTATGGTTGGGAACAACTAGGGCTTTCGACCTAGTATGATCCTATAGCTGTGCAGCAGCATAATGAGGCCAATTATCAGTTACGTCTCCATTGCATGGTGTATTAAGACCAACTAAAAGACGACTGCAGACAGACTAAATAGTCTACAAAGCCTGCCCACTTAATAGCAAATAGATCGAAGCGGGCATCGCTTGTAGCAGCTCTTAATGCACTTTTGTGCCCCCTTTAACGCCCCTTGATTTTTACTTGATTTGGACCAAGAGGTGACGACTAATCTGTTTGTTTTTTAGGAAAGCAAACGCAGTCCGTCCTGGGCATTAGTAGTTACGTTGTACCAGTTCTGGCGCAATAGTAGTTACGTTGTACCAGTTCTGGCACACTGAGTCAGAAGTGGTACAAGTACGACGTTCGTCGACTCACGATCCTAAAAAAAAAAAAAAATGGAGCGCTAATGACGGTGCGGGCCTCCACCGTCATTAGCGCTCCATTGTTCTTATCTACTTATCTATTGTTCGTTCAATACCGTCATTATCTATTCTTCCTCAGCGTGGTGCTATTGTATTATACTCCTTTGTTCCTATCTACACTAATCTGACTCATTAATAAAACACATTACCTAATTTTGTAAAAAATTTTATTTATAAAATACAAAATCTTATTACTTATTATCTATAATATAATGGCGAAACATCTCATCCACTAAAATATCGTTGTACAATGTGTTCCCTGTAAATATACTCGTAAACCTATGCATTGAACATCCCTGAAACTTATATAGCAAATACATTAAGCAATATTCGCCACAAACTGAAGTCCACTCATTCTGAATCCTATCAACATTCCAGTTCCATCTTTTACAATTCCTTTTTAAAAACTCTAGATGATATCATACAGGTGCTCGCAACGATGCAACGCAATAACTGCAACACGGTCTTCTTTAAACGTCCACTCCAAAAA